CTTCCATCTGTGTGCTGTTAACTCCTATTCTTCCTAAAGATAACAACTTAATCATTACTTACCAGAGACAGCCTTCCATATCCTTCTGAATTAGGTTAAATCACCTTATTACATGCTTTCACAGCATCTTGTACCTATGACAGTTATAAGTTTACATTTATTTCTTTAATCTTTTGAATAACATCTGAATCTCCCAATACACTTAACATTCCCTCAGGAATGAGGAGCCATTTTTTGATTATTATATTGCTAACACTTAGCACAGAGCCTAACCGATAATAGGGATTCATTAGTGTCAAATATGAACGTGAATGAATAAGTGAATGTATGTATGAATGGGTATGGTGGCACATTTTTGCACATTCATGTGTAAAAGACGGAATCCCTGGGTGGTGCATAAAATTAAGCCAAAGGGCTATTAGTTCAAACCCACCCAGTGGTGCCTTGGAGCATAGGACCGGCAGTCTGCTTCTGAAAGATCATCACATTGAAAACCCTGTGGAGCAGATCTACTCTGTATACATGGTATCCCCCTGAGTTCAAATCAACTCAAGGGCAATTAACAACAACAAGAGTTCTGACAGTCCTAGTCTTCAGGTGTATGATTTATTTTCCCACCTTTTTCTTGCCCCTTGAAGGGGTGAGTCTCTTCCTTAATGATTCACAGCTGAAGAAAGATCATATAGACTGTCTTGTCTTTGTCTGAGAAGCTTGTTAAATGAAAAAGTGCAGCATCCATGTGTCACAGTTCAGAATTTTAAGGTGTAAAATATTTGACTGAGACAAAGCTAATTTCATGAGTAATGAGATAGACCCTTCACAGGAATATGGAACATATTCTGAATTACTGACTAAGACAGTACCGAGATAAGACAAGAGCTTGGACATATTACAGCTTCTCTGGTTCATTCATTTTGTTTGGAGTCATGGCAGAGTCATTGCAGTGAAAGCTTTCATTCACCTGAACTTGAGCATCTAGTCAACAGCGAGTCCTAACCATAGACTCTCATGTTTCCCATTCCAGGAGTTATATGTACCATTTTTTTCGTTAATACAATTAAGTTATATCACTGAGCATGCTAATGTGCATGAATGGACCAATGGAAAGAATATAAGTTTTGGAGTCTGCTAGACCTGATTCAAGATCTGGCCCAGTCTTGCACTGATTAACTGAAAGGCCCTACACATGTTCCTTATTTTCTTCAAATTTGTTTCTTCATTTTAAAAATTGAAATAAATTGCTTACTTTGCATTCATGTTTAAAATATCCAATATTTATAAAGCGTTTATATTATTATGATTATTTTCAGGATTGCATTAATCTTCATAAAAATTGATTCTGAACCACTTGAACAATGTATCAGAAATATTTCCATAAGTATGCTAGAAAGTCTTGGAAAATTATGTCAGATAATGGAATGATTAATTACTTTTTACTAGTGTGGAACTGAAACAAACTCACTTGTGATATTCTTAGCTAAATACCACCAGGAAGTAGTTATTGAGAATGTCAGTGCTTAAGGAAATACCCTCTTTTTTTAAGACATGTTGTTGTTAGATGCTGTCAAGTCAGTTCTGGCTTATAGTGGCCCTAAGTACAACAGACATTAGGTTTCTTTACAGTTCAAGTAATAATTAGAATGTCTTTGATGGAAAATTGTGATGGAATGAGACCTTTGGAATATGCAAATACAGTGCAGAGCAGGGTAGATAGAAAGCTAAATGCCCCAAACATCAGGATGGAAGGAATGAGTAATTTTCCCCTGAAACTTGCACATTAGATTGAAATCCCCATCTTGCTATTGCCTCTGCTTAGGATGAGAGAGGGGGATCATCTGATTCCCTGTCCTCCCCTGTGGGATCTTGCACTTAGGCCCAGCAATGACAGCGTCAGGTGGAGGGCAGGGATGTGGGTCCCAGTGGGGAGGCAGGGGATTTTGACTACTGTTATTGCTCAGCACGTGATAGACAGACCAGAAGGCTGGTTTCAAGGGAGAGATCTCGGGGCAGGCGAGGTAGAGCTAATGCAGGCCAGATTGAGTAGCTTCAGTTGAGAGAAGGAAGGATGTATTTAGCTCCCAGTTCTCTGTTACAGAGCAAAGTTTTTGCAACCTGAAGCACTTGGTACATCAACTGTGCAAGATACATGCAGGTGTCTTGAAGAGCAGTGACTATTACGTCTTTAGGTACATTGCTTGATCTTAGTAAAGTCTGCCACTTCTACTGAAATGAATAATCTGCTCCAGTAATAGTGTTGTTAGTTGCCGTTAAGTAGACCTCAACTCATGACGACCTTCTGTTCAGCAGAATGAAATGATGCCTGGTCCTGCACCATCTTCATGATCATCAGTATGTTTGAGTCCATTCTTGTGGCTACTGTGTCAAGCCATCTCACTGAGGGTTTCTCTCATTTTAGATGACCCTTTACTTTACCAAATATGTAGTGGTGCTGGAATCACTTGGCTGAAGCAAAGCAAATTTTATTTATTTAAGGGTAGTGATATAGGTCCTTTCCTGGCATATGCATTATATTCTAAATATCTGACTAAGGCTCACTGTTGAGAAAAGAAAAGAGCTGGGATGGTTTTTTGCTTCTATGGAACATTTATTTTGTTTGGAGTCATTTGTGGTGTATTTTCTTTCATTCAAGAAAAATGAGACATATATTCTCCCACTGCCTTAATTCATGTGCCAAATTCCCCAGAGGCTTTTCCCATTTTAGCTTAGCTAACTGTTAAAATAAATAGAATGCAGCAAAACTTAAATATTACCAATTATTATTAAGTTTTAGACTTTAACGTTTTGTCATAGTGTTTTCATTAGCTTTGTTCTCACTTCAGGTGTGTCATGTCTGTATTCCTGGCAAATCTACCAACAAATAAAAAGATTATAACCTGCTTTGTAAAGCTGTGTATATTCTCTGTAGCCCTGTATATTCTTTCATAGTGGTCTTTAATATATCAACTTGACATTTCTGCTGGTAATTAAAATGACATGAATTATGTAAGATAAACTGAAGTAAAATGAAATCTAGAACTAAAGTCTCCTAAAAGCCAAACAAACAACAACAACAAAACCAAAAAACTCATTATCATTGATTCTAACTTATGGCAGGCAACACCATGTGTTCCAGAGTAGAAATGAGCTCTATAGGGTTTTCTTGGCTGTAATCTTTGTGGAAGCAGATCGCCAGGACTTTCTTCTGTGGCACCACTAGGTGGGTACAAACTGCCAACCTTTAGGTTAGCAGTGGAACGTAAAACATTGGCGCCACCCAGGGACCTAAAGGCTCCTGAACTTCACTAAAGAATTCCCTACCCTATCTCCTTATCTTAGAAATCTCACCTAGGTTTCAAGGTCCAGATGAAATGCCATCAATCTCAGAAAGCCTTCTCTATCCTCAATAAGCAAAGATCTTTTCTTTTCTTGTTGTGATTTTTTAGGCACTTTTTTTGTTAACATCACTCATTTGGCCCTTCTAGATTTTGGTTTACTTTTTGTGTGTTTACATAAAAATATAATGTAAACCTCTTAAGGACTAGGAACTTTTTATTTTTTAAGTGAGTCTTTGTAATCTCCAGCCTGTCTAGTACAAATAGAAATCTAAAAAAAAATTTATCATGTAATGATTGTATTCTGTCTTTTTTATTAAGTAAAAATTGATTTAATGCCTACTATATGCCTGAAACTGTGCTAAACATTTGGGATACATTGTGTATAAGACAGATGTGGTCCCTATTTTTAATTAGAAATAATTACTCCAATTTTTCCTTTTTCCCTCTCTAAGGATATATGTGGGGAAATGGAGTAGGAGAATGTAAGATGAGGCAGGAAAGGAGAGGGAAATGGGATGGGGGAATTTAGAAGAAGCACAATGAGTTTGTTGGAAAGTACAAACATTGTTTTCTTCTTCACTTCCTCAGTAAACTTTTGGAGGTTAAAAACATAGGCTGTAGAGTAAGTTAGGAGTCTCTGGGTGGTGTAAATGGTTAACGTGTTCATTGCTGATCAAAGGGTGGCCTTTGGAGCCCACCCAGAGGCACTTTGGAAGAAAGGCCTGGCCATCTACTTTAAAAAAATCAGCCATTGAAAACCCTGTGGAGCACAGTTCTACTCTGACACACACGAGGTCGCCCTGAGTCAGAGTCAACTTGATGATAACTGGTTTAGAGTAAATTCGTTACCTGTGTTCAAATTCCCACTCTGCCTCCTCTCTTGGTGACCTTGGCATTGTCATTTTAATCTGACCAAGGCTTAGTTTCTGCTAATAATATAGTCTACCACAAGAAGTGAGATGATGTTTCTTGCCTACTTCACAATAGATGATTAGTGTCAGTTATTATTATTATTATTAAAGGAGCCATGGTGGTGCAACAGTTCAGCACTTGACTGCTAACTGAAAGGCTGGAGGTTCAAATCCACCTAATGGCTGTGTGGGAGAAAGACCTGCCAATCTGCTCCTGTAAAGATTACAGCCTAAAAAAATCCTATGGGGCAGTTCCGTTCTGTCACATGGGGTCACTATACGTCGAAAATCGACTCAATGGCATCTTTCATTGACAACAACAAACATTATTATTATTATTAGCTGCTATCACCTTCACATCCAATACTCTAAGGAGGGCCATGTCCAGGACTATGTAGAGTAGGACAGAGACAACCAGGCTGGAATTTGCTCACAGGCTTCCTTTTCCCAATGACAGAGCTGTCTCCAAGCCCCCTAAACAACGTTGAGGGGTGGGTTGGGCCCTTCCATAACTGGTTGCCAGCTCTCATCTCCTGCCAGTATCTTCCCCTTGCCTGCAGTAAGCCTTATTGGATGGAAGAATATGTGAACATAAAGAGAAGTTTGTTCTCTTCTTTGGTATCTGGGTCATAAATCTACTTGGATTTGTATTGTATTCAGTATTTTGTGGGTTAAGCTTTCCTGGCTGAGGCTTTATTTTCTCAAATACTAACAAAATGGATTTTCTTTTCTCCCAACCCTCTCTTGTTAATAGGGTGCTGAGAAAATTTTGTCAATGAATGAATCAGGAGAACTGCAAGACCTCTTAACCAAAATTGAGGTAACCATGCTTTTAGCAACTTATTTTTAGTAATCAAAACGTTAAACACGTTCTGGTTGTAACTGGGTTTTCCTAATTGAGATTTTCCCCCCATGTTCTAACAAATATGTAACAGGATACATGTGGCAGTTTTAATTTGGTATCACCTGCCATTAGAGTTGCTCCAGCTAGAGTGACTTTTCTGTTAGCCTCTAAGCACTCCCATACTTTTAGGTGAACATTCCTGGCAGCTTTCTTTAGAGCCTCATCATTCTGTGTAATAGAGACATTGATGAGCTGTTCCAAATCAGGCAATTGTTTTGAAGCACATTTAACTTTTTTATTCAAAGAATTTTATTTTCTTGTGGTTCAGCTCACCATTTCTAAAGATTAAGCAAACAAACAACAACAACAGCAAGAACCGGGTTATTTCTCCAAAAGAGCACGTTTGAATTTTTGTTCCTAGACTTACAGTTAGGACCTGTGATGCCATAAATGGTTTGGCCTTGACTACTAACCTAAAGGTTGGTAGTTTGAATCCACCTAGCAGCACCTTGGAAGAAAGCCTGGAGATCTGCTTCCGTAAAGATCACAGCCAAGAAGACCCTATGGAGCAGTTCTACTCTGTACCACATGGGGTTGCCATGAGTCTGAATCAACTTGATGGTAACAGGTTACACTTATTGTTACAGCATCTGAGAAATACTTACTCAAGTATATCATGTGTTTAACAAATATACAATGAGGAAGCCTTATTCACCTCTCTGATAACTATTGTTATGAACCTGTTTCTCCCTATATGTAGGGAGATCATATACTTTATTGTCAAAACTGGGGCACTTTGAGAGAGAAATGGATGCATTAATAATTATTCTGGGGCAGTAATTGTGAACCAGGACTTCCCAAGATGAACTAGGTCATATGGTCACCCAGTATTTATAGGCCACAGGTGGCACAGTGGTTAAAGCGATCCACTGCTAACAAAAGGTTGGCAGTTGGAAACCACCAGTGACTCTGTGGGAGAAAGATGTGGCAGTTTGTTTCCGTAGAGATTTACAGCCTTGGGAACCTTATGGGGTTGCTGTGGTTGGAATCGACTTGATGGCAGTGTTTGTTTTTTTTTTTTTTACCCAAGCTCCTCTTGATCTAGTCTTCTACGCTAGCCTCATTTCTGATTCTTTGCCATGTTTTCCACTTCAGTCAAAAGAAAGAACTATTTGTGTTCTGTTGTGCTTTCTTACTACCAATCTTTTGCACAAGCTGTTCTGTCCACCTGGAATGCTATTGCTCCAGTTCCTCATTTCCCTCCCCCATATTCAAGGCCCATCTGCAGTATCACTTTTGATCTCTCCTACCTTTGAATTTTTATAACTTTCTCTTTGTTGGGTGCTTATCAAAGTCTTGCTTGTATTACCTTTCTTTATGTATTTGACTCATCTTCGAATCCTTTTTTGTAAGAATAATGATTTATTCATATTGTGATCTTCCCTGAATGACAAAAACAATGTATTATGCAGTAAGTACTTATTGAGTGCCTACTATGTATAGACGTTTTGCTAAGGACGACAATGATGCCCTTTCAAAGTACTGCTAGCACATAGAAATAACTCAGACAGGTTGTGAATTAGCCTTTTCCATAATATAAACGTTAGCATTACATTTAGACACTGTGGTCCAGTGAGGAAACTGAATAGCCAGAGAGAAAGTATTCATGAAGGAGGGCGCCTAAAGTTTTATGAAAAGAACTTACCACAATCTGATTTCTAAATCCTAAAGCCATAGGATATATTCAGAGAGTCAACTTATTAGTGTAAGAGTGGATTAAATTTCTTTGCTTTCCACAGTTAATAAAATTAATAAAATGAAATACTATGACTTGGAAATCAGAGGATCTTAGCTCCATTCTCAGTTTTGTTGATGGCTATGTGAGTTTGGCACATTCCTCATACTCTCAGAATCTTGATTTCCTCTTCCGTTAAATGAGGGTGTGTAGCTAATGGTCTTTAAAATTCCTCTCAGCTCAAAAATCTGTATTTATGGCTTTGTTTATTCCCTTTTGTCTCCATACTCTCCTCTGGTACACTGAAATAATTTAGTTTAATATTTCACTTTTTTATTTAAATGATATAACTTGGTTAATATATATTATTGGAGTCCCTGAGTGGTACAAAGAGTTAAGTGCTCAACTACTAGCAAAAGGATTGGTAATTGAACCCACACAGAGGTACCTTGCAAGACAGACCTGGTGATCTGCTTCCAAAAGGTCACAGCCTTGAAAACCCTATGGAGCAGTTCAGCTCTACTCACATGGGGTTACCATGAGTTGGAATCAATTTGATGGCAACTAACAAAAATATATATTATTGTTTTCTAAGTACACAATTTTAATTTATGTAAATGATATATATAATATATTTAATTTTATTTTAAATTATTTTTGCTTAACACTATATTTTAAGAACCATGTTGTTTTATGAACATTAAATGCATTACTTCTAACTGCTGCATATTTTTTATTTTTATTTTATTATTTTTTATTGTGCTTTAAGTGAAAGTTTACAGTTCAAGTTAGTTTCTCATACAAAAATTTATACACACTTTGTTATGTGACCCTAGTTACTCTTTCTATACTGTGACGGCACACTCCTCATTTCCACCCCGGATTCCCAGTGTACATTCAGCCAGCTCCTGTCCCTTTTAGGCCTCTCATCTCGCCTCCGGATAGGAGCTGCCTATTTGGTCTCATGTATCTACTTGAACTGAGAAGCACACTCTTCATGAGTATCGTTTTATGTCCCATAGTTCAGTCTAATCTTTGTCTGAAGAGTTGGCCTCGGGAATTGTTTTAGTTCCGGGTTGACAGAGACTCCGGGGGCCATGTCTTCTGAGGTCCCTCCAGTCTCAGTCAGACCATTAAGTCTGGTCTTTTTACTAGAATTTGAGTTCTGCACCCCACTTTTCTCCTGCTCCACCAGGGACTCTCTGTTGTTTTCCCTGTCAGAGCAGTCATTGGTAGTAGCTGGGCACCATCCAGTTCTTCTGGTCACAGGCTGATGGAGTTTCTGGTTTATGTGGCCCTTTCTGTCTCTTGGGCTAATATTTTCCTTATGTCTTTGATATTCTTCATTCTCCTTTGCTCCAGGTGTGTTGGTACCAATTGGTGCATCTTAGATGGCCACTCACTAGCTTTTAAGACTCCAGACGCCACTCACCAAAGTGGGATGCAGAATGTTTTCTTAATAACCTTTGTTATGCCAATTGACCTAGATGTCCCCTGAAACCCCCACCCCTGCTACTATGTCTTTCAAAGTGTTTGGCTGTGTTCAGGAAACTTTTTAGCTTTTGGTTTAGTCCAGCTGTGCTGACTTCCCCTGTAGTGTGTGCTGTCCTTCCCTTCACCTAATTCTTATCTACTATCTAGTTAGTGAATACCCTTTTCCCCTCCATCCCCACCTTCGTAACCACCAAAGAATATTTTCTTCTGTGTTTAAACCTTTTCTTGAGTTCTTATAATAGTGGTCTTACACAATATTTGTCCTTTTGCTACTGACGAAATTCACTCAGCCTAATGCCTTCCAGCTTCCTCCATGTTATGTTTTACGGATTCATCATTATTCTTTATGGTTGTGTGGTATTCCATTGTGTGAATATACTGTAATTTGTTTATCCATTCATCCGTCGATGGGCACCTGGGTTGTTTCCATCTTTTTGCAATTGTGAACAGTGCTACATGAACAAGGGTATGCATATGTCTATTTGTGTGATGGCTTTTATTTCTCTAGGATATATTCCAAGGAGTAGGATTGCTGGATCCTATGATAGTTCTATTTCTAGCATTTTAAGGAAGTGTCAAATCAATTTCCAACGTGGTTTTACCATTTTACATGCTCCAAAACAATGTTCCAGTCTTTCCAAAACCTCTCCAACATTTATTGTTTTTCTGGATTAATGCTAGCCTTGTTGGGGTGAAATGGTATCTCACTGTAGTTTTGATATGCATTTCTCTAATGGCTAATTATCATGAGCATTTCCTCATGTATCTGGTAGCCACCTGAATGTCTTCTTTGGTGAAGTACCTGTTCATATCTTTTGTCCATTTTTTAATTGAGTTGTTTGTCTTTTTGTTGTTGAGGTTTTGCAGTATCTTGTAGATTTTAGAGATTAGACCCTGGTAGAATTTGTTGGGGATAAAAATTTTCCCAGTCTGTAGGTTGTCATTTTACTCTTTTGGCAAAGTCTTTTCATGAGCATAGGTGTTTGATTTTTAGGAGCTGCCAGTTATCTAGTTTCTCTTCTGGTGTGTGTGCATTGTTACTTATGGTTTGTATTCTGTTTATCCCATGTATTAGGGCTCCTGGAGTTGTCCTTATTTTTGATTCCATGATCTTTATCATTTTAGATTTTATATTTAGGTCTTTGAACCATTTTGAGTTAGTTTTTGTGCATGGTGTAAGGTATACGTCTTGTTTCAGTTTTCTGCAGATGAATATCCAGTTAAGCCAGCACCATTTGTTAAAGAGACTGTCTTTTCCACATTGAACTGACTTTGAGCCTTTGTCAAATATCAGCTGCTCATAGGTGGATGAATTTATGTCTGGATTCTCAATTCTGTTCCATTGGCCTATGTATCTGTTGTTGTAACAGTACCAGGCTGTTTTGACTACCTTGGCAGTATAATAGGTTCTAAAATCAGATAGTGTGAGGCCTCCCACTTTATTCTTCTTCTTCAGTAATGCTTTACTTATCCGGGGCCTCTTCCCTTTCCGTATGAAGTTGGTGATTTGTTTCTCCAACTCATTAAAAAATGCCGTTGGAATTTGGATTAGGATTGCATTGTACCTGTAGATTGCTTTGAGTAGAATTGATATTTTCAGACTGCTGAGTCTTCCTATCCATGAGCAAGGTATATTTTCTCACTTATGTAGGTCTCTTTTGGTTTCTTGCAGTAGTGTCTTGTACTTTTCTTTGTATAGATATTTTTCATCTCTGGTTAGATTTATTCCTAAGTATTTTATCTTCTT